GAACAGCTTAGAATCAAGAGTTCAATAAAATAGAGCAGTTTTTATATGTATATATATTTAAAAAAAAGAAAGACATATAGTAAACTACCCATGCTCTCTGCTCAGACATATTAGTCATGGGAAATTCCTAATTTCTCTGGTTTTATAAGACTAATGCATCAGGAACTAAGTTTATGCAAAGTGTTTGTTTTCCCCTCCTGCATGGCGCAGCCACTGCCATTTCCCCATCGCTGTCTCTCTGAGGTGCTTACTTGCTTTCTGTTCCCTTTACATCTTTTATAGAATCATAGAATCACAGGATGGTTTGGGTTGGAAGGGACCTTAAAGCTCATCCAGTTCCAACCCCCTGCCGTGGGCAGGGACACCTTCCACTGGAGCAGGTTGCTCCAAGCCCCTGTGTCCAACGTGGCCTTGAACACTGCCAGGGATGGGGCAGCCACAGCTTCTCCGGGCACCCTGTGCCAGCGCCTCAAAGAGACAAAAGCCACACTGCTTTTTGTAACCAGCAAGGGAAGAAAGCAGAAAAAGGAAGTGTTTTGTCTCTCTGCTGACTGGTGTGTTATTTACTTTTCAGCTGGAGACTGAGGGTTGTGTTCACGATGTTTCTTCTCAAATCAGAATTTTAGGAATGATGGAGGATGACTCACAGAGACTTTTTCTTTAGCTGTTGTCATAAAATGAATCTTCAAATACTTTCCTTCCTTCTCTTGTGACAACTTTCAGGTTGATTGACCTTCCCTTAGTTCCTGACATCTAGGGTTTGTTGTTCTTGTACAGGTCATTTATTGAGTCAGATCACTTAATGGCATAGGCTTTGTTGATCAGAGACAGGCTACTCTGACACAAGGTGGAGAAGGAGGTGGTCAGACGAGGAAGGGGGAAGATGTTTCTTTATGCATTTTTCAGGCTGATGCTTAATTGTCTATGGAGATGGTAATAAAATGGGTCAGTGAGGGATGGTGGTCCAGAAGGGGGAACCTGGTCTTTGGGGATGGGGACTTCCTCCTATTGGGCTTGTCACTCCTTCATGGACAGGTTGGAGGAGCAAACCTTAAATAATCATTGCTGCATCTGGGGAAGAGGATTGCTGGTTGGGGTCTATTAGCCACTTGCCCTCTTCTCTTGGCTGTCTCTCTTTTTTCAGTCATGGGCTGTTTTTTTAAGCTATGGCAGTGAAGGGAATTCACTGAGCACTTAAGCAGTTGGATTTCCCAGTCCCAGCTTCCCAATGTCTGCTTGAGCCAAGGGTGATGAATGGTCTTCCAAAACCACACTGGCCCTGCACTGACTCCTGTGGGGAGAGGTTAGACTGCCCTTTGCTGTCACTAGGAAGGTGGCACTTTCCCCTGCAGTGGGATGGGGAGGAGAATTGGGAAAAAAGGTGAAACCTGTGGGTTGAGAGAAGACCAATTTAAGAATTAAAATATGGTATAATATCTTACTGCTAATAATAATGAAAAGGGAAACACCGAATAGACAGATAAAACAGCACAACAAAATAAGAAACAAACAAGTGATGCCCAGTATAATTACTCACCACCCACTTACTGCTGCCCAGCCTGTCCCTGAGCATCGATCAGTGGTCCCTGGCCAGCTCCTCCCAGTTCTATACTGAGCATGATGTTCTATTGTATAGAACATGCTTTTGGCTGGTTTGGGTCAGGTATCCTGTCTCTGCCCCTCCTCACTGGCAGAGCCTGAGGCTGGAAAGTCCTTGACTTAGAATAAGCACTACTGAGCAACAACTGAACGTCGGTGTGTTATCAGCATTGTTCCCAGACTAAAGCCAAAACACAACACTGTACAGCTACTAGGAAGAACATCAACTCTATCCCAGCTGAAACCAGGACCAAGGAGTGTTTGTGTTTATTGAGGAAGAGGAAAGTGTTGCAAGACAGCAGTGGGAATAAATCAGCCTGGGGTTTACTGGCAAAAAACAGAGCCAATGTCAATTAATAAACAGAGATGTGCTGGATTTCATGTATCATGACCTCAAATCTGCCTCACAGCAATCATGTAGATAAATTGTCAACAGCAGCACAATCTGAACCTGGGGTGTGCCTTTAAGTGCAGTCTGGGAATCTCCTTTTCTGCTTTTCCTGCCATGCTCTCATCTCCATGGGAGGCCTTTTCTTTTCTTGTTTGCTAACTTTATTTTACTTTCTGAAAACCAGTGGAGTACTCCCTGGTTAGAGTCCCTGTCCTGGGCAGGAGGTGGTGGAATCCACTTCCCTTCTGCTGGGGGAAGGCAGCAGGTGTCCAGGGAACGGGGTGCTGGGGTGGTTCTGCCCTGGGCACCCCAGCAGGAGATGGGCACCTGGGTGCAGGTGAGTGCATTGCCTCCATTTCCTAGATTGCTTTAGCTTGTTGGGAGGTTGGTCAAGCATCTGCCTCTACTGAGACCTCCCTGCTGTGTCTGAAATAGCTCTGAGGTTCCTTGTGTGAGAGGTGGGAACAGAAGAATTTGACACGCACTCCCCCCATCATGAATACCTGGAACAGAGCAGATGTATTTGATCTCCCCTGTCTCTTTTTCCAGAGCTGTGACTGCTGCAGACCACCATTCCTCCAGGAGGCAGGAGGTAAGATCCCCCTTGCTGCTCTCTGCCTACTGAAAACATCCCCTGCATTTCCTAAGGGACAAAATCCACTGCTAAAAGAGAAAAAATGCAGGTATGTTATTCAAGTCATATATATCCTTAATCATTGTTCTCTTTCTTCAAAACCAAAATGGATGTCAAAACCCACCCTTGTTCATCATGGTAGAAGAATGTCAGCAGACAGAAGTGAGTTTTGAAGTTAGCGAAGCTGCTGGCAGACTGCAGCCAGGCTTTCTGATGGGCAGGCTTGCAGATGCTGCAGCCTTTTAGCACCTTTAAGGATGAGGAGTGCATGATGTCAGATGCTGTCCTGGGCTGGTGCATGCAATGCTCATCCCTCTAGATTGTCTTGGTGATGTTTCTGAGCCTTCAGAAACTGAGACATACAGGAGTGCTTCTGTCTGAAGCTAGTGATAGTGAACCATCCTGGTTTTCACTTCCCCAGGAGCGCCCTCTTTTTCTGCCTTTGATGAGAGCACTTTTGATGTATGTCACAGTTTCTTGGTGACAGCTTTCACACTTTCAACCCACACCTGGCATTCAGCTGAACTCTCATTTTTTGGTCAGCTGCCCTGGTTCAGGACGTGGCAGCAGGGTTCATTTAAAGTGTGACAGCAATAGCAAATGGAAATTCCCAAGCAAGAAAACTGGTGTGAGCAACAGCATCAAAGTTAGAAGAGGTTTGGGTTGTGTCCTGCACTCCTCTGTGTGTGTCCTGCACTATGTGTTTGCGTCCTGCCTGTGCTGCCACCTCTAGTGCACTGCAGCAGGTCCGCTTTTTGCTTTCAAGTGACCTGTTTGTGTAACAAGCCCATTCAGTGCTTGTGAGGGGTGTCAAACTGGCTGTGTCCAGCTCTGCACCAGTTCATAGAATTAGAAATAATACAATGTAGGAGATAACAATGCAAGATATTTGTGCTAGCTGTGTCCTGCAGGTGCTGGGAGGGCAGTGTGGCCTGATGAGGGCAGGATGTGGTCATACATGGTAGGAGATACCTGCCTCCTTACACCTGAACGCTCATCACTTGGAAAGAATAAGGTTGATGTCCAGACTTGGCTCCAGTGGAATCTGGGAAGGCTGAAAGACAGAGTGTGTGATCTATTGTAAGAAGGTTAAGCTGCACATACTTGGCAGCCTGTTCCATCCACCAAGCTTTCCAGTGATGTGGTGGAATCACTGTCCATGGAAGCGTTCACAAACCGTGCAGATGAGGCCCTTAGTGACATGCTTTAGTGGTGGTCTTGATGATCTTAAAGGTCTTTTCCAACCTTGCTGATTCCATGATCCTGTGTGATCAGATAGCTATGTTTATGCAGCAAGATCAAAGCAAGCCAGCCAAGGCCTGCTCCGCTTGGGTAGTTACAGTCTGTCTGTGCATGGGATGGCGGCTCTCTGCCTTCCAAACAGTGGTGGAAGGATTGGTATCTGTTGGCATATGCTCAGGCCACCCTTGCCTCCTGGAGGCTTCTGAGCCCACCAAAGATGTCTACTGCTCTAGATTGCTGCTGCCTTCTCACTGCTTAATTCATCCCTTAGCTCTTCTCTGTATGGTGTGGGAGAGCTTAGCCAGATGGGTTATGAATTTAGACATAACTACTAAATCAGACCAAAAACTCGAAAGTGTCAACAGAACTGCACAACCCAGTTTTCCTGCTGGAAAGCCTGAGAGGGTTTCTTGGTCCTTGTGCCATGTTCTTCAGCCCCAGCATGTCTGAATCCCTGACTGCCTTGTGTTTGGATAGACCCTTTTCAAATGAATGATGGGGGTTTCGGTCCTGTGTCAAAGGGATAGTTTATCTAGCTTTTCATTCTTTTCTGAGAGTGAAAAATGCTCTCCTGTGTTTTTGCCCTCACTAGGAGTCATTTGGAGTGGTGGTGGTCCTGCTCAGAGCTGCTGTGGAGGCTGGCTGTGCTGTAAGGACCATCCCTTCACTCCCTGCTCAGCACCATCTTGCACTTTCACAACCCAACTGTCTCCACCGCAGCCCCTCTGAAGCTCCCTCCTTCTCCAAACCTCAGCATCACCTGAGAGCTCATGGCTGTAAGGAGGCTTTGGTGTGAGGTTTCTGTGGGGAGGAAGTTTGGCCATCTTTCACCAAGCATTCATTGTATCTATTTCTGTACACTCTGTGTTTCTGGCAAGTGGGTGCTAGAGGAAGGCGTGTTACTCAAAGTGAGATGGCTTAGCAGAATCTGCTTGGAAATGCTTTGTTTGTAGGTGGCTTTGCATCTCCTTCACCTCTTTAATTGGCAGTTACTGGAGGTGAAGTATTTTTTCCCAGCACATCTGAAATAGCTGTTTGATTTGTGCAGAGCTTTCACCTCTAAAGAGCTCACAACCATGCTGGTGAGACTCAACGTGTACAAAAAAACACAGTGGCAATCAGGTACCTCTTAAATCACTTTTTGTGATTTGCTTTTGGCACACGTATCCCATACTGGGGAGGAAATCTTAAAGGCATGTTTAGCCTTATTGGGGAACAGTCCATGAAATTAAAGTCTGAATTATTAACCCTCTGTATTGCAGAGCAGTTGGAGCTGATGGAGTCCATCATAAAGCAAAGGAGATGCCTGAAGTAAAGAGGTAAAAAGCATATGATGAACACAGCCGTATTTGCTGACACAATGTAGATGGCCTTCCTGAATACCTTTTCCTTCTGACAGTCTCCATTCTTTCTCATGAGTTCTGCAGTGACTTGCATGGAGCAATAACTCAAGATGATCAAGTGGTACATCACACAGATCATGACCATCCACAGAAATCCAGGGGCAAAAGCTTCCTTCAGTGGCGGCCTCAGCACCTTGGTTTTCAAAGGGTACCTGATTGCAAGGTACCCGTCAGCTGCTATGACAGTGATGATACTGATGCTCATTAAGTGGTTTATGCAATAGCTACTGTCCAGAACCAGGCACCATCTACTGACCTTAAGCTGATGGAACTGGGATAAAGTTTTAGAAGGCATAGTGAAGAGCAGCAAGCAGTCAGCCACAGCCAAGATGACTGTGTATACTCTTGTTTCTGTCCATTTGCTGAGTTCACAGCAGAACACCCACAGAGCCAAGACATTCAGCAGAATGCCCAAAAGCAAAACTGGGATGTAAACACACAGCTGGACAAGTGGAAAGCTTTCATAGGCTGTGATACTGCAGCTGCTGAGGTTCATTTTAGGGGTATTAAGAGGCACAGTTCCTAGAACAGCAGATTAAACCTTTTAGAAGCAAGGCTCTTGGCTGAATCAATGGTTAATTTAGATAGTTCAGGGCTTTACCAACAGTGACTGTGGAAATGACTCTGCAGAGCAGAGCTGGCTGAATGATACTTAGTAGGAAGGAAATGGAGCAGGATATGAGCCCAATCGCTTGTGGAGGAGAGAAAAGCACTGGGTCCCATGTGGGGAAGGCTGCAGGTGGAGGGCAGCAGGGGAAAATGCTTGGGTCTCTGTTTTGGGCCAAACTCAGATCAGGTAGCAGCAGGTATCCTGCAGCTAGGAGTTATGTGAGCTTTTACAACCAGGTGATAATGGAAAAGGAATGTCTAAACCCAGCTCTTATCCCTTCGCCTTGTAGTGGTGCTCAGGAGAAGCCAGCCAGATTCCTCACAGCTCCGAATGCTTTTGGACATGTGCATCAAAAGGACAGCTGTCCTCTTCATTCCTGAGCTGTTTCTCCGTCATTTCTCATTAGTGATTAGAGCAATTATTAGTACATCTCTTACTACTTTTAGCTGCCATTGAATGCTGTACTTGGTGGTAGCATTTAGTCATCTGCAGCAAGAACCGGAGTCAGGGGTCTGCATGCTGCTTTTCAAGGACTGTGGAAGCTGGTCTGCATCTCAGAAGTATTACAGCTATCAGCCACAGTTCCAAGACAAAAAAGTTCACCAATGCCATGGCAAAGAAATATGATTAGCAGCCATGTGAAATAAAGAGATGAGCTGTATCTGATCTAGTGGGTGATTTTGTCACCCTGGATCTAAGGTCAGTATTGCTGTTTACCCTCCTGTTTTGGAGGAGTTAATGCAGAAGTATATTCCAGGTGCAATTGTTCACAGACAGAAAAGACCTTGGGAGATCCGAGATGTCTTTGGATTTTCCCTGCAAGGGGAACATGGCTTCACGGATGCAGGTTTGTGAGGCTTGAAAGCATTGTGAGCAAACAAGCCATAGGACAGTGCTGCATCTATGTGCATCTCCAGCTCTTGACTAGCTTTGAAAATAATGCTGCTGGAGAAATCATGGCAGGAGACCTCTTCAGAGGTGAGGGAATATGCTATAGCCAGTACCTGCAGCAGCTTTGTGATTTGGACACAAGGAGAAAGTTAAGAGCCCAGAAGATACAAGAAGATACAAGAACCATAACAGACAACAGGGAGACTTAGCAAAGGCTGAGACAAGCCTTAAGTGCGCAAAACATGTCTAATGTTTCCAGTATGAAAATGAGCCTTTGAAAATACAGCAGCTTCAGCCCCCTCTCAGTTTCTTTATCACCATTTTGGTGTCACGCCATGGCTACAGAAAGGCAGTGCCTTGCAGAGTTCAAATAACCTGGTCAGCAAACAGCCAGGAGGAATTACCTGTGTGCTCGCTGTCCTTGGAGAGAGAGAATGTTCCCCCACGCCAGCTGTGGTGCAATGTGCAGTCATGATGAGCCCTTCTAGCAATGCTCCTGGCACGTGACTGCTGAGTTGTCCTGCAATGTCTGTTTGCTGGTGGCTGTGAGAGCAGCAATGCTGGTCGAGGAAGCACCCCTGCCCCTCCTCAATGCATTTCCCCAGGGCTGAGCTTTCTCTGCCACCACTGGCATGGTTTGTACCACCCCCCTTTGACTGAGGAGCCTGCAGCAGTTCCTCTGGTGGTGGAACAGCTTTGTGTTTTTCTTTGAGTTACTTTCCAGTGCCTGATACCTCACTGGGCAATGCCCGCTGACCTTCCTTGCCCAACAGGCTGCGCTCAGTTCTTGGAGGGCACTTACTGGCCTGAAGCATCCTGAGGTCTTCTCTCTGCCTTCTAGACCACTGCTCATGCTGGAGCTGGCATGGGGACCGCCACCTGAATGGGCCCACAGTCCCATTAACACAGAGGTGAGTCCTGTGGTTTCCAGACAGTTTTGTGATTGTTACGACTTTTCAGTCTGAATCACAGTAATTCTCTTATGTTTCATAGTTCTGTTCCACCAGCAATTCTGAGAAGTTGTGACGCTGTGACCTGCTGCCTTTGTGACTGCTCTGTGGTTGCAGTACCCTGAATTGCTGTCTCGGGCAAGCGCATTTCCCCTTCCCACTTTCCAGGTTGTCTTAGAGCAGCTTCAGGAGTATTTCTTCATTGTCTGTCTGTGCCTTACAAACCAGCCTTTGAGATTAATTCCCTATTATTAGTGTATAGTATAAAGCTTGGTTTAAATACTTCTCTTGAGTTCCCAGGGACTGACTTTTGCCTTTCTTATGGCTGTTTCTTGGTGGTTTTAAGTAGTTACTGTCGTCTTAGTATGCCCAGGTTGTCGATCCTGAACCACCATCATTTTCCTGTCATGGTTGTTGTTAGTACTTCAGTTTTCAAAGTCACCCAGCTCCTGTGTTGTGATAGCTTCACCACTGTACAGAAAACACTTAACTTTACATCATCCTCAAATGTTGTCTGCATATTCCTATTGTCTGTATCAAGGCAATCACTACCAGTATTAACCATGAGCAGTCAAAATCAGGCCTGAAGGGAGCTCAGCTCATAACATCTCTTTGGTGCGATGCTTCCCATCCACAGCTTGGTGCTGTGGTCACCAGATGAGGGCAGCTATGACTTCCATCAGCCTGGTGAGACTTCAAGGGAGGGACAAATCATGTTACCAGGCACAAAACAGCTGGCTGTGGTCATCAGACACACCAGGATATGTCTGAGCAACTCAACACCAGCTACCAGTAGGCAAAGCTATGATGAAGTGTTACCTGCAGAGAACTTGGTGTCTCTTGGTGTGGCTCTTGGGTCTCTGTCTGATTCCTGGACACCACTGGGTCAAGATCCTCGTGCTTCTCTTTCCTCCACCTCAGCTCCCTACCAGCTACCCTCTAGGCTTTCGCAACTGCTTATGGCCCCTTTCTTCTATGCAGTTGGAGGTTCTATCACCTCTGCCTTGGACCGATGATGCTCACTTGCTGTTTTCCCTCGCCCCTGCAGTTCTCAGCCTGCCTCAGCCCTGTGAGTGCTGCCACCATGTGGCACAGTGCGGGTGGCACTTGTGCTGTTTTGTCACTTCCTTGCTGGCAGTTTTCCTTCGGGGTAGTCTGGGGGCCTGTACAAAGAGAAGGCGCTCTGTTTGGTGGTCTCTGTCCCCTGACTCTACTTTGTCTGACTTAATTAAAAGCCTTGTTACTGGTGTGAAATTTCATGTGCCAATTCCTTTAAAATTCTGGACTTTCTGGGTTCTTCATCCTTACTGAAACCTGTGATGAAGCAATCGGTAGTTATCAGGACATACCTGGACAATTTTGTTGTTTTTATCAACAGCAGTACTAGGTGATCTCAGTTCTTTGCTTGCAATTTGTAGGTAGCTTTTCATGTCTAAGGGAAGAATTTGCTAAGACCTGTTTGATCTTCGTACTTGATCTCTAAGATTTAATTCTGTTTTGTACAGTCACTTTTTCTTCCCCTGTAAGCTCTGCCTGATGTCCTGCTTGTGGTTGTTTCCTAGTCAAAGAAAGCCCTTCTGATGAGGTTTTCCTGTGCTCCTGGTACAGTTTGCTAATAGACAGGTTTGATGGGCTTCCTGCCTCCTTTTCCTGTCAGGGAAGATCTTGGCCTCTTCTGTCTCCCAGAGACTGTGCCTTGCTGGCTGCAGCTTCTGGCACATCATAGTGGGACACCTCTGGCAAGGTGAGAGGTACTGGTACCCCCTCCACACGTGCAAGAGGGAGATGGGACACTACACTGCCCCATGGCATTTGGGTTCTGCAGTGCCTCTGCCCTGTGTGGTTTTTTTCCTGGCTTTCTCACAGGAACGCATGATGTTGCAACAGCAGATCTTGACCAAAACAGAACTACAGGAATGGGAGCTGAAAGTGTCAGTCTTATTTTTAGCATGGAAAGCCTGTGAAATGGCAGTGTTAGACTACGTGCATCCACTTCACACAGTGATCAGCCTTGGCTGCTGAGACTGGTTCCCTCTTCCACTTCCTCAGCACCACACACGAACTGAGCCACTTGCAGGGCTCTCTGTACTATAGCCCTCTCCATACTTCCACAGCATCAATGCAGTGAAATACTTCCTCATGCCAGCCCCTGCCTTCCCTGCTTAGAAGGGCCAAAAATGCTAAATCTGATGGCTGCTCACACAGAAGCAAGAATATGGGTTACTTTGTAGGCTTCTCTTGCATGTTATTTTTGCTTTTTGTTTGTCCCCCCCTTGGTCCCCACAGCCTAAATTTTTACTGCAGCATCAATTTCGTCATTTAAAGTTCAAGCCATTGTCAGCACCTTTTCCTTTTAAGGAGCAGAGAGGTTATATCTTCCTCAAACATTAGCAGAATGCCGTGGTCCAGCCCTGCTTGGTGGAGGTGCTGATGGACTGTGGCTGCTGCTCCCTACTATTGTTAGCCAGAGTCCTGTGCAGGGACATCAGAAACATTTGTGAATAACAGTATTGCTGTCCTCATGATTTGCTATACCAGTGCTGTAGGATGGCTGCTAGTTTGTTGTGGCCCAGGTGCTGTTCCATTTACCGAGAGTGCTCATGGAGCTGAGGCTTTGTTCTGACTCAGCTTGAAGTCACCTTCTCTTTGAAGTCACCTGAAGAAAGGTGTCAGAAACCCATAATTTACATCATTATAACTTGACATGTTAAAGCAGATAATAGTTTTTGTTGCAGGTAGTATATACATTTTCAGGTAATCAGAAAGTTCCTTGCTTATCTTTGGGTTACGCTTTATTGTAAGGCAGATCTTATATCATGGTGGCCAAATCTCTTTTCACAATCTCTGGTATAAGTTAAAATTACTAATAGAGGACTTTGAGTAATGGTGATAAATGAATATTTATTTGTAGATACATTACTACAAGATAACTTTATTATTACTTGCAAAAGAATGTTTCCTTTTTTGTTTTCATAGCATTCAGTGCAAAACCCAAAAAATATTACTTAATGATGACTGTGATTGTGAAGTCAACAATTTCTATTT